TTTTCGCGACTGTGTCTAGGCATGTTTTTCATTAAGCGGAGAGTTTTAAACATACAAAGCATGCTGAGCCTTTAGAGGAGACATCACATGGTCATTGTACTTGCAAACAAAATAGTTTGCGACTGCAGAAATAGCTGAGCCTTCAGAGGAGCATCAGCAACGACCGCAGATGCCTGAACCCCGCCAGACACCACTCATTGGCCTCGTCCACAATCAGGAGAGTTAAGCTGCTAAGGTCGATGAGTTGCCGAAAGTTCTAGCATTATTCCTTTCCTCCTAGATCACCCAACCAACTAGGAAGAAGAGGGAACCAAACCCTCGGCGCACTTGCTTCGAGACCATCTTCCTACAGCATAAGCACCAATGCAGAACTCTCTCCTCTTGCACAACGACGACATCATCCCGTTCTGTTCTTCATCCCCAGTTTCAGTTATTAGAAAACAAACTGGGGGTCCTTCGAGAACAAAGCACAATTTTAAAATTTCCACCGCCAAGCCATCTTCCCCAAGTGAAATTATTGAGAAATAAATTGGATTTACCACGTGTCACTGAAATGTTAATAGATGTATTAATGCAACTCAGGTCCAACTGTCACGTAAAAAAAATCTGAACACATGTCACGGTAGAGTTTTATATATTTTTCCACGTAAACTTGACCTGTCACGTTACAAGACTTCACATTAGACACGTTAGAAATAAAAAAAACCGGTCTCCTTAACATCGTCCTTAACATGTTCGCAGTAAACGTTAGGAAAACCCGAAAAAAATGCTATCGCGTGAAAAGGCCCTCCTATAGACACATACATCATGTACGGACTATCCATGTTACATGTTAGGAAAAGATCTACTCAAACAAAGGTCCTTGACACATTACATTACATCAAGGTAAGGTCCTTGACACGTTACATTACATTGAGTAGCAAAAATATTCTAACCCACCCTGACACGTTACATCACGTAGGAAAGTTGGATCATGTATGGAAATTAATTCAATATGATTGCAAGATATTTTTCATTATTTGCCTTTATTTTTATAATAACCCAACAGAATGGATGGTCTATAATTCTTTGGGTAAAGCACATTTTTCAACTTTCAACTTGTACGGAAGTTTGTTTTTCAAACAAGGTATGGAATAGCATAACGAATCATGATCTTATGACTATTTTATGGCTCTCATAATCTATTCCGTTGCAAACTCTAATATGTGATGACTTATATATAATATGTTGAACACTATGTTTCTTTTCTTAATTTAAAGTATGTGAGACATCAACTCTTTAAATGTCTATTTAGATTCATTATTAATGATATATATTATACATAAATTTATGCGTGATCATTATATACCGGTATTGGAACTTGCCCTTCGCGATAGCACCCGCTATCCACGATCCCTACCTCAACACCAAACCGTTGCGAACCCGTTATACGCTATTTCGTACTTTGACCTTAAAATATGAAATCGGGTATTGGACACCCTCCAACTATCGAAACTAGATAAATTTGATCCTTTAGCTAGTTTCAAAGGCGGTTGTCTATTTTTGTAAACTAATAAAAATCCATTTTTAATCTCTAAAAATTTATAACTTATTTATTTTTAAATAAAAATGTGAAACTAATACCATTATTTTCATAAAAATGTTATTCATCTGTTGCAGCTCCATTTGGAGTTATTTAAATCTTATTTGTTCATGTTTACAATAAACTAGACCACAAGCAATAACATTTTTTAGAAAAAATAGGATCATTTTCATATATTGCTGATTTAAAATAGATTAGTCATACATTTTTAAAGTCTAAACCAGATTTTTATTATTTTTATAAAATAAAAAAAACCACCTTTGAAATCAGTCAAGGACCAAATTGTCCGGTTTCAATAGTTGGAGGATGTCTAATACCCAGTTAACAAGGATAAAAATCAAACTCATGTGCAAGTTGAGGGTTGAAAATGCATTTAACCCTAATTCTTTTGGAGTCCCATTGCGACTTTCTCGTCCAAAACGGCACGCTTAAAGTGCTTGACAGGGCATACATTAATTTACATAGTACTACATGTCATTCGGACAAAGAAGGAGGAGAAGAAGACATCTAGTACTCCTCCAGGTTGGTAAAAGAATCGTTTTGAATAATGACATGGTCTCCAAAGCATAATTTTGATTTTTTATTTTTATAAAAAAATTTATTGAAAAGTGATATATGTATATTTTTATGAAAGTATTTTTCAAGACAAATCTATTCATGTGGTTTTCACATTTTTAAACTCAATAACTTAAAAGTTATTCATGATTTATATTTTTAATGTAACCTTGTCAAAAACGAGTTCCTTTATCGACCTTGTGGGAGTATTACATGAAACAGAATTAACAGATCTACATAGGGGAAGTGGCCTTGGTAGGAGTAAGCACAATTGTTTTAGTTGTTCCTTTCCATTGGTGTGGTCAGCGCATAGAAATCACCAAAGTTTTAGCTGCTGAGGTCTGAGGCGTGTGGGCCTGTCACCTCCCGCGATTTCTCTATTGCTTTCAGTGAGCTGGGAGTACCTCCCCCCCTGAAATCCTGCAGGAGGTAATGGGTTTCAGTGACAAGATGTCAGCTCCGAATGCAGCAGGGTGACCATCTGTTTTGCCGACAGCTATCGCAGAAAAGAGGAGCCGCATCTGCTCTAGATAGGCTATAGGGGCATGCATGCCCCAGCCCCAGCATACAAGAACAAATATAAAAGCCGTCACTGGCAGTACTAGTTAGATAACAGAAAATGTCTTGACCTGATAATTCTATTGCATATATGTCCCTCCTCTGTCCATGTTTTCATGAATTTGTCGCGATTTCGAACACAACATGTTTCTGCTACGTTCGTTTAATTTGTTCCATGCTGAAGTCTGAATATAGAACACTAACAAACATTTGCTAAGACCTCATTCATGTTAAGTACTTTGTTGTTGCCATTAAATACTAGAGAACAAAGCCGTGTCTGCACCAAGCCAAATCGATGGTACAGTGCAACCAGTAACAATATAATCAATGCTGAGGCGACTGAAACACCTGAATGATTGGACGAAGAGTGCATGCCGATGGAGCAGGAAGCGGTAGACCTGGAGGACGAGAGACTCCCACCCAGCTCTATTGGCAGTGCAGGGGACTTCAAGTCTTCAATGTGGGGAACAAGAAGAGAACCTACCACTCACTTCCTAAAAGTTTTCACTTTTCAGCACTGCAGTTCGGTACACCCCTACATGCATGGCCCAATAGGGCAATAGGTGGCACGTGCGAGACTGAAGTGCACTGCACAGCCATTCTGTGCAGTGCTGACAGTCAAACCCTTTAGCAGCTACAGTATGGCATTGTTTACACTTGAGCTGTGAAACCTAGAGCTCTACAGTGCTCATGGATGCACCATTCATGCATGCATGTGGAAGAGAAACTAGAGATTTGACAGAGATTAGTTTAATAGTGTGGAGGAGACTTGGGATGTTCACTGGCCACTGCTCCCAAAGAGATCTGAATTAGGACCCAAGGGAACTCCAACCAAGGAATAAACAAGCCGGGGGTACTACATGCTTTTTGATGCAAACATTCGAAGGAACTGAAGAAAAGAGACGCTGAAAGAATAGTACTATACTCTATACATGCTTTGGAGAAGTGAAACTCTCCTGTTGTTTATACCCTGCCATTATGCCTCCACACTCTTGGACAAGAAAGAAGTCAAGTCAACACGGAGTTGCACGTCAATTCTTGCTTGCTCATCTGTTAATGTTCATTAAATTTGGAGGTTTGTTTAATCCCAGCTTGTACAGTTGTACTTAAGCACGAGGCTTCAAGTTTTACACTTCCCCTGCTGGCCTGCAGCAGTACATGTAACTGCGTAGCCTGCTCCAGTGCTCCTTACTGGCGCATAGATGTGCTGTCAGCAGCTTGGAAATTGGAAGGTGGGATCATCAACGAGTCTGATGTGTAGACATCCCAGAAGCTGAAACGACGACACCAGATTTGGTTCAAAGTTTCTGTGCGCGCGGTTGCTGACACGCAAGAGTAATCCTGCCATTAATCCTGTTGCTTCCCATGCTAGCCCAAAGGGAACGGGAACTCGGGAAGCATGCGGCACGCACGTGCCGCGCTGCCCGTTTCCATCCATCTCTCCGAGTTCCTACCCAATAGGAAGGGGATGTTCTTTCGGTGGCAGATGAACTTGATGCCTGATGGGGACTCCGGAGCTGAAACCTAAGCGCAGGACTGCGCCAGGCCACCGGCATGGCGTCGGCTTTCAGTCTGTGCATGCTTCGTGTCAGGGCATGACGCCTCTCCGTCCAAGAACGCAATGTGTAACTTCCTGATAGTCGCCATCAGCTTATTAGTGCCCGGGCAAATAAGCAGAATTCTGACGCACAATGGGTGAATAGCGATAATAAACAATGTACAAGATATCGAGGTGGATGTTCTTGGAATCAAAGCATAAGTGCAAGTACCAACCTCGTGCAGACTTGGTGTAAAGTGCGTGCAACTTCCCCTCCCTGGAAACTGATAAAGAAAGTACTACTAATATACGTTTTTCCCTGACAAATGGCACACACTAATTCTTTTAAAAAGACTTACTTTGGTATGTCATTTTGCATTCAATGAATGTGTCCCAATAGCTTCATTCCTGATACAGTATATCAGTGACTTCCGATGAAAACCTGTCAGGATTCAGGCTGCAGAGTGAACAAAAATTTTTAAGGACTCGTCAGGCCCACTGAACCCTACAAGGTTTTTTGTTTTCTACGAGCAGTTCACAACCAGCTGAGAAAGGAACAGAAGCATTCACCGTGACAAACAAATCGCAATGTTATAACAGGCATCGGTAATCGTGAGTACAAATATCGTATTTGACCTAACACATCTCGATAAGTCCTAAATTTTGTAGAAGCAGCCTCTTCAGGTCAACGTCTTGAGGCGCCAATAAGTGACAGCCAGTGCACAATGCCAACTTAAGTTGAAGAATAAATTAGGTGCGCTCTCTTTGCTATCTAGGACTCATTGCAGCCTCCTGATCAGCCTGCAGTGGATAAATAGAAGATTTGAGAAACCATGAAATGATCCATTGTGCAGTATACACCTTTTGCATGGAGAATATAATAATATTACCGGTTTGGCCAGTAAACTGGCTTTCTCATCGTCAAATCCAAGCGATTCCAGGATTTTATGACCAGCTGACTCTTTATCTGACCATATCCCCAGTAGCAAATGATTGGCAGTTACTTCTCCGTCCTCACCTAAACACACAGTTCAGTTCCAAAAAAAAAACAAATTAGGTTATAAGTTAAACCACATTTGGAACAAAAAATAAATAGAGTAGAAATCAAAACCAACTATGCTCCAGACATGCAGATCAGGCACCCAACATATAGGGGGATCAACAACATAAAGGTAACTGAAGTAAGCTAAAAAAAGAGCCAAAAGTAGAACATGAGGAACCATAAAACTTTGTGTGCCCTCGAATTGCACTAACCTTCAGGAGAATCTTCAGTCAAAATTTATCAACCACTATTTGTTAAAAAAAAATTATCAACCACTGGAACTCTCGGTCTAATCAAGTGGGGGCCATGGGTCTTTAGTCCCGAAAATTCACCAGGCTTCTAATCTTATAGACTAGTCTCTACGCCCAAAATTAACACCACACCTACTCAAACAATGGCAAGCACATTCTACAGTCTAGGCCACACTATAGCTACGGTATGACCTTGAGATAGTCAATTCGTGCACGGCTTCTTAATAATAATTTAAAACTAGTACTGTAGTTGATGCCTACCCAACCATTCAATACCAAGAGTGCATGACCTAAGTTCAAGGTCCTGTTCACAGAGATAGAACAAAAATGGCATCAGGACAAACAACCTCCAAGCCTTCAAATCTCATGTCAGACTGGATCAAGTATCATCTTCAATTCATGGTCTATTGCACCTTCAAGCTTAAGCATTCATAAATCATGGCCCATCAGAACAGTATTAGGCAGAGAGACAAGACTTCAGTTTTGCATGCCTGCATCAACCCAAAAACGCTTCTATGGGCTGATTCCCCTCATTCAGATGCAATAAATGGAATAAATATGGTCCCACACAAAATGAGATAAATCCCAACCAAATCCCCTCATCAAAATACAATACATGGAACAAACAATGGTCCTGTTGTAAGTTAAGTGGACACTCATCTTGGAATATATATCATCAAATGGTGATATGCTGAACTGAAAAGGCAACAAAAGCTGAGCTCAATATGGGTTGCATACAAAATACAGAGCACCATCAGTTTTAATCCTCTGGCCACAACTATATCTGCTGAACCAGACTTGATATAGCTTTATTGAACTATTGAAAGAATGGTGTGGGTAAATCTTCCATTCAGGTTAAATCACAAATGATTTAGTACCACCACTGCAAACATAGTAAGGTTTGATGTTTGGGGAGATATTTCTTTACTTTGCAAAAAGAAAATGTCTGTTACATCTTTATTGGTGTTGTTTCTGTTTTATGCCAATATTTGCACTAAAATCCTTTGAGTGAGATGGGTCCATGATATCAGAAATTGGTTTCAACAAGATGAAGTCATAGTTAAATCCATCTCAGAGGCATCATTATACTTGCAGATGCAGTATAAATCAAGTTTTTGAAACATGTTCTCAGAAGAATTGAATGCAATTTGAATGTTTAAGTTAGAACCCAGCTCAACTGCCTCTAGTGTGGAAACTATAGCTCCAGAGAAATTGTAAGCAAATAGAAAGAAATAAAGTAACACCCTGTCGCCGGAACAAGCCTAACCAGTAAATGATATATCAAACAATGTGATTACTGGTTAGCGGGTATACAGGCAGTTAGAATTTCAATCTCCAGTGATACTAATACAGAATTACATTTTGCGAAGCAATGCATATTAAACTATGTTATATGAAAGAAAGAATTCCAGAAGTCACATTGACAAGGGACCATTGGTGCTGGGAAAAAAGCATTCATAAACCATGAGCGGAGGATCCTTTTTCGTTGTCGCCTCTAACAGTGTGAAGATAGGAGGCACTAGATACCTCCTGCAAAGAAGAGGGCCAAAGAGCATGTGTCATATCCAGCGGGACCATGTGAAGGAGCAGTGCTAAACTACATCCCATAGGATTGGCACGTACTGGTCATGTGAATAGTATCATGCCCGGGCCCAGTGTGGGTTAGTTCTGTCAGAGATTAGATTAGATTAGATTGGTTAGAGTTGTTATCTATTTGCTTAATTCGAGAGATAAGTTTCTTAAAAGTAAAGTAGTCTCATCAAGATATAGATCAAGAGTCCCTACCCTTTTCTAGTTTTCTATCCCTGCCCTTGTCATGTGGGCGCTGGGCATCAGCATGGTCATGCTGCTTGGGTTCTGGGTCATCTCAAGTATGTCCACGATAGCATGCTTTTGGGGAACTAAGGAATTTGGAGGCAGAATAGACTACACAATGTGATGAAAGGACTTTCGGGTTAAGAAAACAATGCATTCTTGCTTAATTTCTAGGGGGGCACCAACACACATATGTGAACATACTTGAATGCTATAAGCAATTAAGCAAATCGAATTGTGTAATCAGGAGGTGACACTACATAGAAGCAATTCATATGTTGAGTGATGAACAGCAATGGAAGTTCATATGTTGAACAGAAATTACCTGATTTCAGTTTTTCATTGACAGCCCAATCAAGGGCTCGTTGTGCAGCTTCTGTCAATGGTGGATGCATGGGACTAAAGTAAAACATTTCTGATTTCCCAAGCACATTCGCTGCCTCCTCACGCACTTTGAGAAGTGTGATTCCATTAGCACGCAAAAGTTTTGCTGCACCACTAGTTCCTGAAATAATGGACTGGTGGCTCAAGCAATGCAACATGTGTCACGAATGGGGCAGATAAATAAAAGGAAATGTTAGATCAAACTTGGCACTATCAAGGTAACAGCATAGTCCCCACAGTTTGCATCGAGTTACTAGAATGATGCTTACTTGCCCAGTAAAACATGTGGACTAATTATAGCTTAGGTGCCAGTTCTAAGGATAAGAAAGGATACATTGCGAACAATATGACAAGTCAGCTAGAACTGCTGAAATAAGATCTAAAAGGCTCCTTGTAAGTATGTGATCGTTGTTTTTAGCATACACTAGATTGCCACAAAACAGAACATGTCTGAACTCCTAACTACATCAGCAAGATAGGTTGAAAGGCCAAATGCCTACTACATCTTGAACCAAACATGGATAATGGATTTCGCACTATGAGGCTAGAATATCTCAATATCATGAATTTTTTGCTTCATGTGGTTCTACATCATTAGAAGCTTCTATAGTTGTTACTGGTCTATTTATATATAGATGCTGTAAGACTAGAGAACTAGATCAGCCAGCCAACAGATGATCCAGTCTACGGGGTAGTTCATCACACAATAACACCTTGCCGTTTCTACCCTCTGATTCCAAATGTAGGTCATTTAAGATCTGTGCACAAGGATTAATGAAGGATGTCAAATGGCCTTAGTGCCCTTCATTTATTATGTATTGGAAAAGATGACTCATTCATCTGTGAGTGATAGCATTTATTAAGTAGGGGCAAGTTAGGAAGAAAAGGGTAGAAGATCCATAGAAGTTCTGAAATTACCAACATTTGGATAAAAGTTGAGAAGGCTAAGATGACCTACATTTGGAACTGGAGGGAGAGGTAGTAGTTTTTGTATTATGCACTAAATTCGAGTCACTGATCACTGTATCATATTTTTATGAAGCATGTAGATGTATTGCACAGTTTTATCTATATATCATTTCGTAAAAACAATTTTAGCCATGTACACCATATACAAAACGCATGCTCAAGAACAAACCAGTTCCAACAATCATATGCAGTTAGTGATGCATTCGGGTTCATTAAAACTGTCACTACAGCTACATTCTGAATCTTCACACCCTTACAATTTGTAGCCCATCGTCTTTACTTGTTTGAGTTCCACAAACCTTACGATTTGTAGCTCATAGATCATCTTTACTTGTTTGAGTTCCAGAAATGCACAATTCACAGCTAGTCCAACGCACTTAAGTTATGACATGGCTCCATAATAATTAGCAAAAAAGCAAACTTCGGTGACTTAGTATCTAAGATCCCTTGCCTCACCTTCAACAAGAATGCCCATGAGGAGCCCCTCGGTGCCTGTGGTAGGGTACCTCATCTTCCGGGCCTCCAGCTCCGCCATCGCAAAAGACCGCACTGCCCTTGATGACCATCTGGGGTAAATCATCATGTCAGACGCAAACAGACACTAACGCTCCCTCAAGAAGCTACAGAATAGTCACCTAACCTGATCTTCTTCTCCCCAGAAGCTACCTCCGGATGCCTAAAGACACAATAATTCCGGGATGGATATCATCAAATTATCCAGTAAAATAATAGGAAAAATTCGAAGCAAAGTAGTAGCATATCAATGTGCTAACTTCCAAGAGATGTAAGACTAAGGAAATAAAGTAACAGCTCAAGATCAGGACTAATTAACGTCGGTGAGAGGTTGGAGTATCATCATTTCTGCTTACGCGGTGGGGAGCTGGGCGACGGCGGCTCCGACGCGGCGGCCCCGGAGGCGGGAGGCGAGCCGTGGGCCACCTGTGACAGCGGCCCGAAGGGAGACGAGTAGGACAGGGTTTGTCCCGAGGGAGACGGAGGAGGAGGGAGCGGGGTGGTGAGTGGAGGAGGAGGAGAGGAACGAGAGGAATGTGGCGGCGACCTGGGCTGCGGTCGCCATGGCCGGGGGATGTTTTCGTGGGGTTTCTGGCTTGGATAGAGGAAAGAGATAAACCGGACTGACTGTGAGTAGTGAGAATGGGACAGGAGATGGACAGTGCTTTTCTAAGTTTGCCGTGCCTAATCTATTGGTTCCGACAAAAAAAACTTTAGTGCAGATACGAGACGGCCATTACACATAGATTGTTATATAGTATTAATCATGTAGAATTATTTTTATGAATGTGAAAAAAAGAGAGAGGAATGTGAGAAATAAGTTGTTTTGTGAAACAAAATTTAGAATTAGAGACCACCGTTGCACTATTGTATTTGTTACTGTTGACATACAACTCACAATATTTTTTGTTCTATATATGCACGAACTAAGAAATTGTGAGTTACTGTGAGATAGCTTAAAAGACTATCATTGTACATGTTCTCTATTAGTCGTCATAAGATTATGTGGCATTATATGAGAATGTCTACCAGACGGAATCAATATACTTGCCCTAAAAAGAGTCTAAGACGTCCTTAACACCATTGGTGGAGCTTCATATGGTTACTACTATAACCTTGCGATTGATATGGTATTCCTATTCCCTGGATCATATGGCATGATTTATGCTTACCATTTCAGTCTTCATGGTGGTGATTTTCTGCCCTGCTGCTTTTGAAGCCTAGTGTTTTTTAGATCATAATGTTCTCATTTAAACCCTTTTATGTAGCTTCAACTAGGATAGCAATCCTACCTATGGATAATTATCGGATGTGGATGTGGATACAAAATTCGGCCCATGGGTGCGGATATAAGATTTTGCTCGCATGTATGGGTGTGGGTATGTTGCTTCACCGGTTAGCAGTGGCGGATTCAGGATGGGATCAAGGAGGGGACTAAGTAATGAACATGTTGATTGATAATGATGATTTATGCTTGATGCTACAGTAATTTAACGAGGAATTACAGTTCTTTTCTTCCTAAAAAACACCTGGATCCTACAGGTTATATGCTTCTGATTTGCTATCTTAATAACAAAGTGTCATAAGGAAAGTTTGATCTTTTAAACTTCATGATATTCCCAGCATTGTTGATGCCTCATTTTTTTATACTCAAGAGCAAGCTATATGTCCGGGTCCGGCAACTCCTGGTAACAACTAAAATCTATTAAGTAGGCATACTTTTTTTGTCAATTTGTGATTTCATGCTGTGAAGTCTAGAAATTTCAAGTCTCCGAGAAGTCTAGAAATTTTGTCCTATAATCTGCTATAAGTTTTATATTTTTTTAGAAACACCTAATCATCCTCCCTCAATCACATCTCTATACTTTCAAGTTCAGGTTCCTAAAGCGGAACGACACCCCTGATGATGGTAGTAGTGAGGGCTATGTGCCTCACCGAGCTAGCAAAGCTCAGGACGACGAAAGTGATCTCTTGGTCCTGAGCAAAGTCAACAACAATCTTGGTCATGGAGGCCATCTAGCTCTTGTAGATGAGATCTATGCCTACGCCCCTACTTTTTTTTTGGCAAAGCCAATACACATAAGCAATCAGATCGATAACTTTTTTGTGGCAAAGAAAACAGAGTAAGAGGCTGCTTGGTTCTGAGCATAGCTAGCCTCGCCTCACCTCGCTGTGCCGGCAGAAGTGACAAGGAGCTTGCTTGGCTGACCGGACTGATTTAGGGGCCGCTTGGCTCCTTGTCTTAGTACTGTTTTACCTTGCTAAGCGAGGATATAAATAAACCAGCTTGTTTGGATGGTTTGTTTGATGGCTTGTGCGAGCAAGGTTCGTCTTGCGAGCATGAAAAAGTCAAATTGGCTCTCCCGGCCGAGCAAGCTCCACGGGCACTTCGCCAGCCAAGCGAGGCAAGACGAGGGCAAGCAGCCCCTTAGTTCTCCCATGTGAGCAAGCTAAATCTTGTGTCAGCACTGTTGCTCATCCTGAAGATACTGAAGCGGGCGATGTGGAAGCTGAAGCAGGCCGAGAGCCCAGAGCCGTCAGAAAGAGGAAGCCCAACATTAACGTCTCCGGCCCGATGTGGACTCGCTAGATGAGAGGGTACTTAAGCTAGTAGAGAGGGGGAAAGGAGGTTACGAAACTTGTGAAACCTGAATTGTATTCTGTTAAGCACTCTACTGTTAAAGCACTCCTCCTTCCTCCGAATTCGTTCTTCTTCTTCCTCAAGTCTCCTCCCTTCGTCTTCGATTCGCGCTTCTGCTAACATCTGGTATCGGATTTCGATCCAAACTACCCTTCCCCGCCTCCGATTTCCAATCCTGGATTCCTCCGCATCCCACGATCATTTCACCCGCCTTCAGCGTGTGCTCGCCATGGATCCCACAACGAAGCTCATCATCGACGAGTTCGCCCGTTGCTTCGACACCCATGAGGAGCGGCGCTTCGCCGAATTCGAGCGCACGAGTGCTGATCGCGCCACCGCGGTTGATCGCTGCCTTGCAGCACTAGAATCCTCTGCTACATCTTCGCCTTCCCTCGACGTCACGCAGCGCCTCACCGAGTTGGAGCTCGCCCACGCCGAGCAGGAGTCGACCGTCGCCAAGCGCCTCGCCGATCTCAAGTCGATCCGCGTCGAGCCCATCACCAAGGACCACGACGCTCGGGTGACCGCGCTCGAAGCCGTCGCGCGTGACGTCAGTACCTGGCGCCCAGAACTTGAAGGCATTGTCGACGACCTCCGGCTCCACGTCCAGATGGTCTCCAAGCTCTACGACCGCACGGTGTTCGACGCATCGTCGCACCAGCCCGGGGTGTTCTCCGCGTCGCCCACCGCATGCCGGCATCACCGTCGACCGTGGCGCCCGCTGTCTACTCGGCGTCGTCGTCGATCATGGCGCCAGCCGCAGCGGGACTCACCCATTCGCCCGTGATAGGGCCCGGCGTTGCACCTCAACCACGGGATATTGGGCCAGGGACTTTCACCGTCCCAGCTCATGTCCCGACCAATGGTACGTTTTCCCTACCTCCATTGCCTGCAGTTCGTTTTCCTCCACCGCGTCCACCGCCTCCCAACCCACCGCCTCTACCAAACCCAATTAACTTCAATTTCGGTCCACGTCCACCACCTCTACCTAATCCAGCAAACCTAGCCAACCCCAATCTCGGTCGCTTGCCTAAGCTCCCATCCCCATCCTTCAATGGTGAAAATCCGTGTCTCTGGCGAAGGCGTGCTGAGAAATACTTTAACATGTATGGCACCGATCGATCCATGTGGATCAGCGTTGCAGAGATGAATCTTGAGGGCGCGGCCTCATGCTGGTATGATTCCATTGAGTCTGAACTCAGTGATGCTACCTAGGAGCAGTTTTGTGGCATGGTTCGTGATCGTTTTGATCGCGACCAACATGAAATCCTTATTCGCCAACTCTACCACATCAGACAAACATCCACTGTGGCAGAATATGTCACAAATTTCACCAATTAGTGGACCAACTCAAATCCTATGCAGTAGCTGTTGATCAAGTCTATTTCACTACTCGTTTTGTGGATGGACTGCGCCTAGATATTCGTGCCATAGTGATAGTTCAGAGGCCAAAAACTTTGGATACTGCTTGCACTCTGGCTCTGTTGCAGGAAGAAGCCGGTGGTTCCAAGGATGGTCCCAAATCTGTGCCATCTTCATCATGGAAATCAGCTCTGAAGACTGCTCTTCCTCTTCCTCTACCACCCAAGACTGACAAGCCGGTGCCAGTACCAGTTCCAGCTGCTGGGAAGCCTCCATAGCCTGCTGAAGACTCTAAGCTTTCAGCCCTTAAAGCTTATCGTCGTGCTCTCGGTCTTTGCTACAGGTGTGGTATGAAGTGGAGTCGTGACCATAAATGTTCACCAGATGTGTTACATGCAGTGCAGGACCTTTGGGAGTCCTTGTCTGATGGAGATCTTACTGAAACTGTTGTTGAGGATACTCCACAAGAACACTTATGCCTGGCAATTTCTAAGGTAGCAGTCTCTGGTGCTCCTGCTCATCGTTCTGTTCAGCTTCTGGGCACTCTTCAGGGTTTGCCAATCACCATTTTGATAGATTCTAGCAGTACTTCTTCCTTTATTAGTGCCTCAGTTGTGCAGCAGTTGAGCTCTCAGCCTATAATTCCATACTCATCTTCAGTCAGTGTTGCAGGAGGGGGTATTTTGGCTAGTTCTGGCCTTCTCCAGAAAGTGGTTTGGATGGTGGTCAATCACTCTTTCACCTCTGACCTGAAGATTTTACCTCTACAACACTTTGATGTTATATTGGGAATGGACTGGCTTGAACAGCACAACCCAATGCATGTCCACTGCAAATCTAAATGGCTTCAACTCCAGTACAATGGCTCCACGATTACTTTGCAAGGGCTATCTCCTGTGGCTTCAGATAAGTTGCTGCTGTAGGTTTGCCTTGTCACCTCTGAGCAGTCACTTCCTGATTTATCATCTTTACCTGTTGAGATACAGTTGCTACTCCATCAGTATCACCAGCTCTTTGAACCTGCTACTGGACTGCCACCACCTAGAGCTTGTAACCATATGATTCCTCTAGCTCCTGACACTAAACCTATTTCAGTGAGACCATATAGATATCCTCCGAAGTTGAAAGATGAGATTGAAAAACAGGTAGCTGATATGCTAGCACAAGGCATTATACACCCTAGTGCTAGTGCCTTTTCTTCCCCAGTACTGTTGGTACCCAAAAAAGATGGGGGCTACAGATTCTGCATTGATTACAGATAACTCAATGCTGTTACACTCAATTCCAAATTCCCAGTACCCATTTTTGATCAGTTGATAGATGAGTTGGCTCATGTAAAGTGGTTCTCTACATTGGACTTGAGGGCTAGATTTCACCAGATTTTAATGCAGCCTGGGGAGGAACCTAAAACAGCTTTCCAGACTCATTTGGGCCATTATGAGTTTACAGTCATGGCCTTTGGCCTCACAGGTGCACCAGCAACATTTCAAGGGGCTATGAACTGTACATTAGCACCTGGGCTGAGAAAGTTTGTTTTAGTATTCTTTGATGATATTTTGGTTTATAGCAGAACATATGAAGAACATATTGATCATCTACAGCAAGTCTTTCAGTGGTTAAGTCAAGATAGTTGGAAACTGAAATTCAGTAAGTGCAAGTTTGCTCTGCAATCTATTGCATATTTGGGCCATGTCATTAGTGAACCTGGTGTCTCTACTGATCCTGCTAAGATCTAAGCAATCCAGGAATGGCCACAACCAAAAACAGTTAAAGAAGTCAGGGGCTTCCTAGGTCTGGCTGGTTATTACAGGAAGTATGTCAAGAATTTTGGGATCATTGCTAAGCCTCTCACTCAGCTCTTATGTAAGGATCAGCAGTTTGTTTGGACTGAAGCCCAGACTACAGCATTCATGCAATTGAAACAGGCTCTGTCTTTTGCACCTTGTCTAGCATTGCCTGATTTCTCCTTACCATTCCACATTGAAACTGATGCTTGTGGAGTTAGCATTGGTGCTGTGTTACTTCAGAATGGCCACCCCTTAGCATACATCAGCAAGGCTTTGGATCTTAAAAATCAAGGGTCATCAACCTATGAGAAAGAGTGTCTTGCAATTTTGGTAGCAGTGGATCAGTGGCGCCCATATTTTTTGCAAGAGGAACTTTTTATTCACACTGATCAGCAGAGTTTGGTCCACTTGAATGAACAGAGGTTGCACACTCCTTGGCAACAGAAGGCCTTCACTAAGCTCCTTGTCCTTAATTACAAGATCATTTATAAGAAGGGTGCTGACAATAATGTTGCAGATGGTCTTTCACAACGCCCACCAACTGATCAGTTGTTAGCTCTGTCAATAGTTACTCCTCAATGGTTGGATGATGTTGTAGCTGGTTACCAGTCTGACCCTGAGGCATTGGACTTGCTCAGTCGGTTAGCTGTTAGTGGGGCTTCTGATTCTCATTTCAGTCTCCATAATGGCCTCATTAGTTATGATGGTAAGCTATGGATGGGTTCTAACACTGCTCTTCATTCTAGAGTATTTGATGCACTACATTCTAGTGCTGTTGGCGGACATTCTGGTTCCCCAGCGACTTACCACAGGATCAGGCAACTCTTTTACTGGCCAGACATGAAGTTTGATATCCTACAGCGGGTTCAGAACTGTACTACTTGTCAACAAGCAAAGCCTGACAGAGCTCGATATCCTGGGTTGTTACAACCACTTCCAGTTCATCTTCAGCTTGGTCTATGGTGTCCATAGATTTTGTTGAGGGTCTGCCACAGTCTGGATCAGCTAATGCCATTTTGGTGGTCATTGATAAATTTTCCAAATTTGGTCATTTCATTGCTCTGCGCCATCCTTTTATAGCTCATTCAGTTGCTAAGCTTTTCCTAGACAATGTTTACAGACTACATGGCTTACCTCAAGTGATTATCTCTGATCGAGACAAGATATTCACAAGCCACTTTTGGCAGCAGTTGTTCAAGCTTGCTGGAGTTGACCTTCGAATGAGTTCGACCTATCATCCTCAAACGGATGGCCAGACAGAGCGGCTTAACCAATGCCTGGAGACTTATTTGTGTTGTTTCGTCCATGCTTGCCCTTCAAAATGGTTGCACTGGTTACCATTGACAGAGTATTGGTATAATTCAAGTTTCCACTCAGCTCTTGGGCGTACACCATTTGAGGTACTGTATGGCTATTGTAACACCCTCGGTGTTACGTACCTGTTTAACAATAGTTTAAGGCTTAATAAAACCTAATAAATAAGTTTTCTATGCTTGGTGATAAATTCTTGCATGAAATGATACGATACGTGTTTGTTTAAATCACCTTTGTCAATATAGTCAACATGTGTGATGCCAACCAACCTCGATTTTGTGCTTAAACATCTCTAAATGAGTTTGCAAACAAAAGTTATTTAGGGTTCATGTTGGGAAAATGTGGAGAAAATGATTAAAAATGCCAAAAACCTTACCTTGTTTTAATTGCTCAATAGCTTTTTGAAGAATAAATAAATAAATATTTTATATAGAAACTATAAAATATGTTGGTATGAAAAACTTAGTTTAAGTTTTGTACTTTGTGGTAGAGTGCTTGTTCATGCCTAGTTTAATTGTTTGATAGGTTAATTAGTGCTTTAAAGTTTGAATAAAATATCATTTCCGGGGAGACAAGTTTCCAAGTGCTTAGTGTTTCCACTGACACTGCTAACTTTGGCCCTAATTACCTGCTAATCCGCTGCTCTAATGACCTTGGTCCCTTAATAAGAATAGAAGTTTATCGTGAGGTGAAGTTCTTTTGTTATAGTAGCCGGCTCCAAATCTGGACGGAATATGCCGAACAGTGCGGTAAGGGAAGCACATCTCACTAGCCACGCCCTTACCCTGCTCTGCCGTGGCCCACGCCCTGCTCTGTGCGCGCCAGTGCGCCCAGGCCGCCATGTCGCGCCCACGCCGTCTCTACCCACCCCTGCTCATGCCCAGCACCCATGCCGCGCTGCTCCCTCGCCCCGATCTTATCCCACCACGCTCGCCCTTCTTTTATCGCTCCGTCCCCTTCGCTTCGCTGCTCATACCGCCCGCCATGGCCGAGCTACCACGCCGTTCGTTTTCGCTGCTGCGTTCGGTCGCAGGCCGAGTTGATCTCGTCCCCACCTCCGCCTCGCTCCTCGCTGTGCCCCGCGCGCGCTCGCCGTGGCCCCTGCTCGGGCCACCGCCACGCGAGCACGTGGCCTAGCCGTTGTGCCCTGCCCCGGCGCGAGAAGCCCAGCCGTGGACGCGCTGTGGCCGCCCGGTTCCGCGCAGCTCGCCCTCGCCGCACGTCGCACCCCACAGCGCGTCCGCCGTCGGTCTACGCGCTGCCGAGCCGCACGCACACGCGGCCAGCCCTCCACACTCCTCCGGCCGAGCTGTCGCCGCCCACGCATGCGACCAAGGCCGCCGCTGCCCCTGCGCACCACCCTCGCCCTCGCCGATGGCCTCTGCCGGCCAAATCAGCCCTGCTGCAACCCTCCTCTGCTCGGTGAAGACGAGGAAGAAGAAGAGAAGGACCTCGTGCTTAAATAGAAGCTTTTCCAGGGTTGCCAATGTAAATCTCGTGACTCACATGAATAGTACTGCTAGACTACAGGTTGATTCATGAAAAGCTCAGGGCCTCTATGTGGTAGAACCGCCTAATTTAATGCCTCACATGAGTGCTTGTCTTCCATTAGACACTAAGCACTCGAGGGAGAACACTAAATTACTCGATTCCGTCGGGCACACCCCAAGGGAGAACCCGAAAATCCACATTTTTGCCATCAGGATCACAAATGAGAGAATAAAGCTTACATCATTCGTAACCATTTCTTACATCACTTTTAATACAACATCAGAGTATAATATTTATTAATATGACAGCGGAATGAAATCATATTATCAGAGTTATAAACAATTTACTTGAATAGCGGAATAGGAATATGTGAATAGAGTTACAGCGGAAATAAATATCTAAACATGACATGAGGAAGTATTGACATATAGACTACGACAACATATTATTAAACTTCCATTTATAAAAGCATTTGGTGAGAGTTATAAATAAAAACTACGATCGCAGCGTAAAGGAAATCCTCTCTGAGCCCACCAGGAGGAATCCACACACAAGAGTCAGCTTAAGCCTCCACCTGTTACCTGCAATAGGGGGAATAAAACCCTGAGTACTCAATTGTACTCAGCAAGACTTACCCGACAGGAGAAAAGAAAAGACTCCAAGGATATGTAAGGCTATCTGGCTTGTGGGTTGCAATTGCAGGAAGCATTACTAAGCGTGAGTCCTTATATTCGATTTTCATTAATAGCCTCATTGGTTCATTAACTAACCATTCTATGTAAGCACATGTGCTACTTTCAAGCAGGTGGTAAGCAATCAGATTACCTTTGTCCGTCTTTCATCCTCCATCTTTCAGTTCTTACTACGATGCTAAACCGTAGACAAGCCGTACCGAATCTCCCAGCGATTCGCGAATCAATGCCCCCAGCTGGGTACCCCGAAAACACACGTCCCACTTGTACCCCAGGCACAAGCAGGACCAACCCATCACTCTCCTATCCTGGGTGTCCAGGTCCCCGTCCAAACTGGGACTCCAAGCCTCCGCCCCTGAGTCTCGGACTCAGTGCGGTGCAAGGACCTCCTCCACTAAAACAAAACCCTGACAGTCGGTCCGGAAAGAGCCGGATCCGCGACAAGAGAGCAACAAGTCTTCCAAGCGCCCATACACAAGTATGTGCTCGGGATAATAAGTCTGTGACCTGTCTAGAGTCATATGCAACGATCGGTCCTTAACCGACCAGACAGGGAAAAACGGTGTAACCAAGCTATGACCCGCCTCCGCGGCGACACAACTTCTTACACCCACCAATACCCAAACCATATCCTTGCCCGGTCACCATTTTTCTTTCCACCATTTTATATATTCTAGGTGATAATCATATAGTAACATATTTCCTGTATCTCGCGAGTGACAGACAATCACTCGACTTCTATCAAAGTCCTGTAGCATAGCAATCTACACGATCCTGTCATACTAGTAAGACTCATAGGATAAAGATATATATGCAAGTGGGCTTCATTCAACTCCTTGAAACTTAATGCACAAATATAATTTAAACTGCAGAAGGTAGGGGTTATGCACCGGGGCTTGCCTGGGAAAAATATAATCAGAAGTTAGCTTTCCATCATGGCGACATGATCTCCAAAAGCACCATTCCTCCAGCAACTCCCGACGACTCCGTGATCCACCGACGTCCCTATTATGATATGCAATGTAATGCCATGCAAAGATATACTTAATTGACTGCAATCGTGACTCGTATAAATACGCTTTACGCTTCTCAAGTTAACGGCTAGTTCTAACGCTGGTCTACGTATCTATGTTGTCGAATAAGACGTTATTTCCCAACAATTATTTTAGTTATATAAACCAACGGTGTTTCTTTATTCCATTCCATCAATTTAATCTTTATTCGCAATCGGATATCATTATCTATTTAGCAAACTAATTATTTTGGAGCTACAAAATTTACAGTGAGTACCTAATATTGCTAAGAGCCTTCTGTATAAATTTTAGATTCCACAACATTACCAATTCATCCCGAAAATTCCTACAAGTTCATCTTTTAGCAATATTAAGCATTTTAAAATACTTATATTGCTCCCAAAAATATTGCCAAACTTTGTGAACAAAATATACTAACATGTAGAGCATGATTTTAGGAGACTAACAAAACTAGTTTTATCATTTTTGGACAACTACACAATTTTATATTGATCTTGCATGCTTATTTCTGAAACTAATTAATAAATACTTTGGAAAACAAAAAGGACCAGCGCGCCTGGCCCCACAGACACGCGCGCGGCCCAGGCAAGAGTCGCGCTCGGCTGGCCCATCAAGGCGGCAACCGGCCCGCCCAGGATAGGCGACCGCAGCCCAGCACCGCCAACCGTGCCAGCGGCCCAGGTGGCAACGTAGGCCGGCCCAGGCGGACTAGTGGCGCGGCAATTAGCGAAACGACCCCTACGCTTCTCCCTATTCAGTCCTAGGTCCACAGTACTGTTTATATGAGTCACGTATTTAGCAAAAAGGACCCCGTATAATTCTTTTGCTTGATATATACCGTCCTCACCTTGCTTCTTCAATCTCAGAACAGAGCATCGACAGGGGAGGAGCACCGGCCGGCCACGGCGTGCTCGCGCGCGGGCTGAGGGGCACGCGCACGGGGAAGGCGGTGGCGCTGCGGGCCTGGCAGGGCGGCTGCGTGCGCCAGGCGGCCGGTTCGGATGAGCAGAGCACGGAGGATGTGGCGGTTCGGAACAGCCGTGAGCTCGCGCGCGCTCATGCGGAGATGATCGACGACGGTCGGGCGAGGGACGTAGCGACAGCAGCCTCGGCGCACGGCGGCATGGCTCTCCAGGCGCGGTGATGTGGAGCTGCGTGAACGCCGAGGTGCCGAGCGGGCATGGCACGGCGGCGACGGCGCATCCATGGCGGCCGCGGTCCAGCGTTGCGGGATTGATGGTCCAGCGAGGGCGAAGAGGCACGGGCGCGCTCGCTCACGGGGGCGACCAGCACCAGCGAGGTGAGCGGCTCGGCACGCTGCGAGTGCAGAGGCATGAGGGCGCGCGGTCGGGCGCGTACGGCGGCGTGGTGTAGCGCGGGGTCACGGTTCGGCTGGCTCGGCTACGGCTACGGCCATGGCGTATGGGAGAGCAGAGGGGAC